ATCTCTCCATTGTCCTGATTTGATTGATGCTGATTTCACTCATTTCACTCACTGAGTTTTCCCTTCTTCCTGCGTCTCATTTTCTAAGTCTATAAAATTACAGATTTAGATTAGGGGAAATCAGGGCTGTTCCATCTCTCTACTTCATGGGTCTGGAGTAGTCAGAGATGAGCTCACAGGGTGATGTTGATTGAGTGACCAGTAGAGAGGGAACAGTCAAGCAAAGTTCATCAGCTATGAGGTCCAGGCTAGGCCATGATAATCAAAGGAGCTGCCAGAGAGTGGGTGTAAGTGTTTTAGTTGGACTGTCCATATGTTTGTGTTCCGTTACGTATTTGAGTATTTCACTGCTTGGTTAGGAAATTTACCCTGACTTCAGGGTCCAGGAGAACAGAAAATCAAAAGTTGAGATAAAAAATTGCCATCTCTGCAAAGTTTCAAAGGTTGAGCAGAGAAGTCAGGAATAAGACAGCCAGGAGGTGATCATTGAACGAGTGTCCACAGTGGAAGAGGAAGAGCTCTCTCCCTGGGAAGGGAATGTTTTTCTTATTAATGTCTGTCTTGAGGAAATTGACCCATGGTTTCAACACAGAGCAGTTTCCCAAGTACTTTTTTCCTCTTGTGTGTGATTTCTATTTTTTAATTAGAACATCCTTAAAGGGTAATTATTCATCTCATAATGCTGGACTAAAAAGAGAGACCTGTTTAAATTTATAATTTGATCTGACCTGTAGAAAGGATTAGAAGAAGTAGAAGCCCAATTGGGAAGACCAAGACTCTTGGAATATGGAATTAATGTCAAATCATTCTAATAAAATCAGTGTCTTTAAGATATAAATAAAAAGATGAATGATGTCCTTTATACTTTTTTAATTTAGCTTTTAGTTGGACACAATATCTTTATTTTATTTATTTATTTTTATGTGGTGCTGAGGATTGAGCCCAGGGCCTCATACGTGCTAGACGAGCGCTCTGCCGCTGAGCCATAACCCCAGCCCCATTATATTTTATTTCCAACTCAATATTAATATTTAAAACCAGGATGCTCATAATCAAAGTGAACTGTTAGAATACTGCATTGCTCCAGGTTAAATTTTTCTTAGAATTTTTTAAAAATATTTTTTAGTGTCGACAGACCTTTATTTTATTCATTTATGTATATGCGGTGCTGAGAATTGAACCCAGTGCCTCACACATGTGAGGCAAGTGCTCTACCACTGAGCCACAACCCCAGCCCCAAATTTTTCTTAGAATCTTAATCCCTCTTGTGTGTCTGCCTCTGCCTTTTGTCTTGATTTCATCTCTATGTATGTCACACTGTGATTACCTCTCTGTTTATAGCTTATTGATTCTGTTTCCTCTCTTCTTTGCCTCTCCCTCATCCTTTGTCCTGCTATTTCTCCGTACACCATCTTCCAACTCACCTGACTTCCAGTGCTACCCAACCATATCAACTGATAGGAAGCCAAAGCCTATTAACAGTTGTATCTCTTATTGATGATTATTGTTTGACATTCCAAATTAATATTTTTAAAACAACGCAGTTATTTACTTTTCCCTCAATCTACTATGTTCAATCTCTCTGATTCTAGGAGTATTTTAGAGAGTTACATGGATTCACATATTATCATTTGACAGTTTAAGCATTAATAGAGCACACATTTACACACACACACACACACACACATCCATTACAGAAAAGCCTAAAACATGTATGTTAAGTATAGTTGTAAAGATAGCTTTAGAAATTTACATGAAAATTTGGATCCAAGATTGGTAATGAAACAACGTGGAAAGAAACACGGTCACTAGAAGGCAATTTATATTTTCTGTAAAGGTCATGTCTGCCTTTTCTCTGAAGATTTTGAACTTAAGTCAAAAGGAAAACCTGCTAAATTTTCATTTATGGACCATGAGTAAGGTAAACTTTGAAGTCCTAATCATCTTTCCTACAATAAAATCAATGAGGGACTTCATGTTATAGTCAGTGTACTGTCCTAACATCGTATGTTTTGAGACTAATGCTGTTATTAGTTCAGGAAAATAAATATTTCCTCTGCAACTGAGAGGTCTTTATGATTCAAGTTTGATTATGTATTTGCATATGTGTGTGTGTGTGTGTGTGTGTGCATATATGTGTTGGGAACAGTTCAAATGGGATTAGAGTGTCAGACTGAGAACAAAATTCGTTGCCCATTTATATCCACCGAGTCATAGGCAACCCAGCACCATATTGGTATGAAATTACAAAGCAAATAAAAGCCTGGAGAAGTGCATTTCAGCCCTGGTTCCACCTTGAAAATTAAGTTTAGAGAAAGTATAGTCATCTCTCTTCTAGGCCTCTGCAGCCCCCCCCCTTTTTTTTTCCTGTTGTTTCATTAATGCCAAGTGCCTCACTATTTTCTGGAAGAGTTTGGAAAGTATGACATCACGGAATGTGTCTAAGCATTCATAATATTCTCAGAGTCATTTTAAAGTTATTTTGAGATGTGTCCTTGGTTTTTCTGTGATAGGTTGTCAAAATTCTTGGAAATAATATTCTCCCCAGTTTTAAAATTAGAATAGCACTTTCCATAGATGGCAGCAAAGAATGAGAGTAATAAGAAATAACTTTTTAAGAAATTAAAATATATATCATTTATCTTTATTAACAAGTTACACATATCATCTTTCAACCTTAAAATTATTAAATAATTAACCCAAAACTCTTGTACGTATGTGATCAAGAGAGAAGTGAGTTGAACTGACAAGGTCTCTCAGTTTGGAGGTAGCAAAGCAGGGATTTGAATCCAACATCCTCTAATTTTAAACACAGACTCATCAATCATTGTGATATTTCTCCATTCATGACTTCCCTTCAGTTTTGTAAGATCACTTGAATCACAAATTAGGACCAGATTTTGTGACCCCAAAATTTGATTGACAGCTTGTTTGAATTTGAAGGTATATTCTAAAATTATGATTACTGACAAAAAGGTTAACACTTAGTAGCAAGAATGTAATAGATCATGCAAAAGTTGATTATGTTTCCTCAGATAAATTCCAATAATTGTTAAAAATTGTTACAAAATTTGTGATGTTTTAGGTAGATTATTGAGGACAGATAAGAGATTGAGAGTTGCCCTTAAGGGTCTGGTAGTCCCACAAAGGAGGCAATATAATAAATGTATTAAAGTGAACAAGTGTAATTCTGGTATATTGGTCTTACTGGCTTAATACTTCAGAGTGAAATGGACACTGCACTAAATAAAAATTTTTAGATCAGTGGCAAACAATCATGGCTAATTCAATGTTTGGTAGTTTTGATTCATTTACCATCAAAGAACTATTCATCACCCATCTGCTCTGCTGCAAGCCCACTGAGATAGAGAGCCAGCATTAGCAATAAAACTTACATAAGAGTAACACTTGGGAAAAGGAGGTGCTTAATTGTTGTAAGAATAAGATTACTCCAATTATTATTTAAATATGACTGCTAAACAGATGACAACAGGCTCTGAGTCCATAAGAAACACATTAGAGTCGGCATGAGTTTGAGAAAGCAGCATTGTTTTCCAACAATATGTATTTGCTGGTTTGCTTGGATTTTGTTGTGTCCAATAGGAAAACAACTCAAAGTGCCTCATGATCTTTTCTGGGTGAGCCCCAGCCTTGACTCATGTGGCATTTCATGGAACTAAACTCCAAAATAACTGGTTTTTGAGAATTTAGAAAATATACTGCTACTTGATACAGTTGGTGATGCGGTTCCCACAAGAGTGGCCGATCATCTCCTAATCTTCTGCTCCTCGTTTCCAGACTTGGTCATTACTTGTCCCTGTACTTGTGGCTGAGGTTGGATCTTTGGGACATCCTCAGCCATGTAAACCTCAAGGACCGCCAGAACTTTCAGGGCCCAGAGTCACACCTGGTCTAGCAGGCAAAAGGAAATGCCACTTTCTCAATCCACCAAAGGATGCAGTAGTTGGTGATAATGCAAAGCAAAGAGAAGAGAGGAGTGGAACTCCTGGAGCCATCAGTGAGAAGGGAGAATCAGCGAACTTCACTGAGTCTGAGAAGCAGCTCTAGGCACTGCACCAGCTCTAGGAGCATCTACACATGGAAGGGCACCTGTGGCCACAGTGTTCAGGGAGAAAATCTGTTGAGCTATAGGCACCTCCAGCCAGAGACCATGGCACCTCGGCCTGCAGGAAGCGCAACAAGCCAGACTAACATAGAATGACTCGGGCACCTCTGGACTGGGCCTTCCTGCACCCTCAGTGCCCACCAAGCTCCCTGGATCTAATGTGATCCCTGGAAGATACCTGCTTTCAGCAAGAGAAGACATTAAGACCCAGCTAGACTAAAATATCTCTGAGATGACTGGAAGGTGAATGATCAGCATGGCTAGTTCCATGGCTCACTTGAAAGTGTAAAGAAATGTGAATTCTGTGTGGCTTCACATGTTGACAGAGGGTCACAGCAGGTGGGGTGCAGTGCTGATCCGCAGTGAAAAGAGGAAAGCCGACTTGTCAATCAAGACAGTCCCAGACTCCCAGTCCCACCAGCTCTTCTGGAAATGTACCCTTCAGTCAGTCTTAGCTTATTGCCATTCTGTCACTTTGATGTACACTCAAGTATCCGTCACATGAAGATTTGGCTTCTTGTGAAGCTCTGCATACAGGGTAAAAAGGCCACTTTAAACATTCTAGCTACTGAATGTTATTTTCATTGTATAAACTGGCTTTTTGCTGTCCACCTAAGACTTTGTACATTGGGTGAGCTGACACTGGAGGCATTAGAATGGGATGCAATATCCTCCGCTGGGTATTAGAATATGAAGTAGAATCTGGGACAGGAATAGATTGGAGCTAGATATTATATTTTCAATGTAATTGAGTTATGCAGGGTTATGGTTATGCAAGGGCCCATGGCCAGAGATGGGTGGGGGGAAATGTTCCAGTGAGAACATCAATTGCACCACTTTCTTCATGGTTAAAAATCAGCCAACCTATTGATCTTAGGAGAGCTCATGAATCCAACACTTGAAGAAAACAATAAGGTCTAAGAATTTTGACAGAGGAACTGGAGAAACAAGAACTTCATCTCAAAATCTCAGTCTTCCTTTTGAACATTGGAATAAGCAAAGCAGGAAAAAGAGCTTCCTTCATGGGAGGTACAGGTAAGGATCTGAATTAAACACAAGATTCCCGAACAATGCTTTCCATTAGTATATGGTGCTAACTTTTCCAGTGAGTTTTCCCTGTTTCATTCAGTTTTGTTCTTAGAGCTTGTGACAGATTTTGTAACACTACAAAAAGGGACAGACATCATCTTTGTTTGTTAATTCAGAAAAGGAGGAATAAAAATAGAAACAAAGCAGAAAAAGACAATATCTGTGGGAGAGGGAATGGAGGACAGATAAATAATAGATGATAGATGGCAGGCAGATGGAATAGGCTATTGAATAACCTCAATTCATTAAGGTATAAAGATGAAACAATAATTTGACAAATAAGTATTACTGAACCATTTCCCTATGGTAGCTCACTCTTCTGAGACTTTACTATTTTTATTTTTTTCTTTATTGGTGTTAGTGATATGACAGTAAAGTATATTTTGACATATTTATACAAACACAGAGAGTACCTTACTCTGGTTAGGATCCCAGGCTTGTGGTCGTACATGAAGTGGAGAGTCACCGTAGTGTATTCATATATATACATGGGAAAGTTATATCAGATTCATTCCACTGTCTTTCCTCTTCCTGTCCCCCCTACCCCCCACCCCCTTTTTTTTTCATTCTCCGTGTCTAGTCCTCATAACAGCCAGATGAAGTAGGTTACTGGTTTTGTGTTCCCTTTCCTTCTCAAGAAATATAGGAACAGTTACCCATTAAGCTTGAAAGGTGCCATTTGACGTCTGGAGTCTATGATGGTAAGTTTTCACTAGTCCATGCCCACCTCCAGCTGTGCTCTTTGGAACTCTTACTGCTACGCGTGGGTAGCTATCAATAGTGTCCAACTTTAATATTTTCTAGTCACTTGGTCTCATATATGATTCAAAGTACCTCCCCGTCACACATGCCAGGCTGGTCTGTGGATCTGGTGTCCAGTGGGGGGTATTCCTCTTATTTTGCATCTGATTTCCTTTGTCCTGGACCTGCTCCTCTGGTGTATGTGTCATGAGGAAGACAGAGAGAAAAAGGTGGGTCCCTAACATCAGGCAGCTGCCCTGGTTTACTCTTAAGTGCTGATGCAGTTTGCCTTTGTTAGACTCCGTGTGGGTGGGTAGAGCCCAAGGTGATGCTTGGGCAGGGTTGTTGGTCTCCTGGGAGATTTTACTTTGAGTTCTGGTTGATTGCAATGCTCAGGTCACCCACCACCTCTCAGATGAGTGTCCTGCTCTGCTCAATGCCACGTGGCCTCAGCCAGCCTACAGCACTGATCACATATTCTCCTACACACTTGAAGCCTCCCATGAGATTCCTATCTCATGTGCTATGGTTTGGATGTAAGGTGTCCCGCAAAGCTCATGTGTGAAACAGTGCAGGAAGGTTTAAAGGTAAAATGGTTGGGCTGTGGGAGTCTTGACCCTGTCAGTTCATGGATCTGCTGATGGGGATTAACTGGGTGAGTTAGCATCCACATAACAGAGAGAACTTTTGGGCTTTGCAAACCATACTCTCTTTATCCCTTTAAAAGATCATACTGCCTAATGATCCAGGGGGCAGCAGTCAGTTCTAGGTGGCCATTATGGTCATTATGAAAGGTCCTCTTTAATACTTTACTTGCAACACTCTTTAAAAGTACACTACTTAATAGAATGTCTACTGTGTCCATGATAATATTCTAACTCTTTTTATGCCTTTTACTCTAGTCTATTAATGAAGATATGATCTCCATTTTAAAGATTTTTTTTAATTGAGGTTAATGAAGCTTAGCTAATTAGTCTGAAGTCATCTGTTTGGAAGACTGTATTTGAATCCAGATATTCTGTGCATGGGCATAATATTGGCCTATATTATTCTTGACTGTTTTGCAGTCAATAATCATTTCCAGAAACTAACATGATTAAAGTATAAATAGAAAATTCAGTAAACTTGAAATATTTAATATTTTTGTATAGAACTTTTGTTATATATATTGGAGTCCCACATTCTAAGAAATCAGCTGCAAAAATCAATTAGTACTCACATTATTTTGCTCTTACTCTTCCTTGTCTCTGTCTCTTTGCTTTCTACCTTTTACATTGTTTGTTTGTGTGTGTGTGTGTGTGTTCCTATGTGTATCTTTCCCAGTTATCTTTTTGTGATTGATTTTCAACAAAGATGACAAGAAAATCAATACACAAAGAATATTCTCTTAAAAAAGAAAACAGGGCTGGGGTTGTGGCTCAGTGGTAGAGTGCTTGCCTAGCGTGCATAAGGCACTGGGTTCAATTCTCATCACCATATTCAAGTAAATAAAATAAAGGTGCATCAACAACTAAAAAATAAATTTAAAAAAAACATGTCAGATGCCAAATGGCCAAAGCAATTTGAGAAAGAAGAACTATGCTAGAGATATCATATTCCCTGATTTCAAACTCTATTAAAAAGCTATACTACATTATGAAGTTATAGAAATCAAAACAATATGATGTTTGCAAAATAACACCAATAAACTCCACATCACGTACAGCCACAAGAATGGGGTCCAATTAAATTAAGTTATATTCCAGGTATGTATAATATGTCAAAATACCCTCTATAGTCATGTACGTCTAAAAAGAGTGAATAAAAATAAAAATAAATAAAAATGCAAACATTTGTTGATCACTGAAAAAAATAATATTGTATGGCCATAAAAATTAGGAAATCCTGCCATTTTTGACAGCTTTGATGAACCTGGAGCCTATAATGTTAAGTGAAATAAGCTAGCACAGAAAGACAAGCACTGTATAATCTCATTTATGCATGAAATCTAAAATTCAGACACTTAAAGGCAGAGAGAAGAATGGTGGTTGACAGGAGGCTAAGGAGTGGAGGAATGAGGGATGTTGGTCAAAGGATACAGACTTTCGGTTACAAAATTAAAAAGTTCTAGGGATCTCATATATAGCATGGCAACCACAGTTAATCAGACCATGTTGTTGCTTCAAATGTGATAAGAGAGCAGGTTGTCAGTGTCCTCACCACCCCCCACCCCCAACACACACAATGTTCACTATGGGTGGCGATGGATGGATGGACTAGATTAACTGGGGTTATCAGTATACAATGTATATGTGTATCAAATATTCATATTGCACACTTTGGAGATATATATATATATATATATAATTTTTAGTTGTCAATTAAATATTTTTAACAATTTAAAATGTTATTGGGACTACTAGATAACCCACATACAAGAGAGTACCATTAGGTTCCTATTCTTGAACCATATACAAAAGTAACACAGTATGGGTCATTGACCTAAATGTAAAGGATAAAATTTAAAAACTCTTCAAATAAAACAGGAGAAAGTCTTCACAGCTTGGGTTAGGCAAAGATTCCTTAGATACAGCACCAAAAGCAGAAAAAAAGAAAAATATGGATTCAATAGACATAAAAAATAACAGCTGTTGTTCTTTGAAGGTCATTACGTGGGCTGGTGTTGAGTCTTAGTGGTGGAGCACTTGCAAGACCCTGGGCTCTACCCTAGCACTGAAAATAAGAGAGAGAAATCCCCATCATGGGAGTGCAAAGACACATGTACAACTGGACCAATGGGAGAAAATATTTGCAAATCATATTTCTGAAGACTGGGAGGCCTTCAGATCATTGGAATGTTCCCTTAGAGGGGACACTGGGACTGTCTGGCCCTTGCTCTCACTCTCTTTTGCTCCCTCACTTGCCAAGAGGTGAGCAGTTTTCCTTTGCCACAAGTTTCTGCCATGATGTCCTGCGACAGTGCCAAGGCAATGAGGTCAACCAATTAGGGATTAAAACTGCAAAACTATGAACCAAGAAAAACCTTCCCTCATATTAAGTTGATTCTCTCAGGCATTTTTTTTTTTACAGTAATTGGAAGGTGACTAACAGAGACACAAATTACCAACTGAAGTACAGAAATGTTGAGGGAATGTTAAGATTTTTGTTTAAATTCATTAGGTAAATTAATTGAGATGCACTCATTTTTGGAGAACACAAATTACCAATATAAAATAAAAATTTTAAAAGCCTCATAACTGTATTATATAACATTGTAAACTCATAGAATTCTACAATTGGGATGGTTGTTTGTTCCAAGTATTGATAAAAATAATTGTAGCACTTCAAGTCCTTATAAATTTTTGGTGGAAATGTAAAATGGTTTGAACACTTTGAAAATATTTCTTTAATAGTGTAATATATACTAATGCCAAAATAAAAACATTTTAGTCTGAGGCATTTAAACCAAATAGGTGAAAACAAATGTTTGTGCCAAAAAAAAATTGTTACAAAAATATTGTTAAGATGGTGATTCTCTTCAAATTGTGATTATATCCAATTAGATTCCAATCATATTGGTAACTAGTGTTTAAAATTGACAGGCTTATTTGATTTGCCTGTTAAATTATTAGGAAATAAAAATGTCTCAGATTGCCAAAATATTTCAAAAAAAAAAAAAAAAGAAAGAAAGAAAAGAAAAAACACAAGAAATTTTACACCACTTAAATTCAAGTTATAGAAATAAAGAAGAATATAATTGATATAGGCATACATAAGTAAATTAATAAATTAAAAATTGTGTCCAGGAAGGAAAGATGGCAGATTAGAGCAAAGGTGTGTTTTCCAGTTGCTCTGTGACTCAGGGTCCAAGGAGCATGAGTATTGCTTCTCAGGAGGTGGATGACAGAGGGAATTTGCTAAAATTCAGTATCAATCAGTAAGAGAATAAAGGCAAGGACATTTGGGAACTCTGAATACAAGACAAGACACACCGGAGCCTCAATAGCCATACAGGTGGTGCCAGCTCACTGTAGAGGGGAGGGGTGTCACAGGCAAAGCCAAGAACCCCTGCAAAAAATCATTTGGTAGGGGACAATGTGTGGGATGAAAGGCAATCTGATCTTACCTGACCCGGAGGCAGCACAGCAAGCTGGTGTTTGGAAAGTGCTGTGTTCCTTGGCTGATGAGGGACAGCTGAGATGGGAAGTCATGGTGGAGTGGCCCTG